TTTGAAAAACCCACTAGTGCCACTTTTGATTGGTAGAGAGTGGTTTAACAGTCAAGAATGTGAATGCTAAAACATTCTGACATTTCCACTAACCTGGATTTGTCAGATCCTCATGTAATTCAAGTATGTTTTGAAACTTAGAAAGCAGCGTGTTCCTTGGGAGGAAACCATTCAACAAGGGTCTGTAGCAAATCAAATAGCAGCCCAGTGAGAAATACTAAATGAACAGTTCAAGAACAGTGTTAGCATATGTGCAACTGAAAGATAAGATATAAATATTATTAGAGCCATATGAAATTCAAATGCTAAAAATAAATTGCTGCAAACATAAGAAGCAAAACAAAACCACAGACATTACAAATATGGGTTGCACCAAGATGCCTGCTGAAAAATAATTTTAAGTTCAAAGGTCTAAATCAAGAGCTAAACGTTTTATTTGATGACTTACTAACTGAAAACTGATTGTTACCAATGAACATAAATGGCAGATACTCCATTAGAAGGGGGGACATGAGCTCCTTACGTGCACTCACCACTTTGGAGGGGCAGAGTTTGTTGCTGCTGCTACAGCTACATAATCTGTGCCTAACCATAGAATAAGGCAACACTGCCATTTTCCAACTGAACACTGTAGGGAAAAGCATTACGATGAAGAAAATCTCATTTGGGCTGATGTGAATTCCATTCCTGAAAGTATTTTGGAAGCAGTGTTATAATTAAGAGTCATTTGGCGAATCTGCTACAAATCATGTTTTGAAGCAGTTATAACTCAACATTTTTAATGAGAAATCATTCTTTGGGCAGAAAATGGGTATGTAGTTGCATAGCTAAAACAGCAGAATAAACTATTTCAGTTGGAAGGGATCTACAACAATCACACAGTCCAACTGCAACAACAAAGCATTTAAATTTAGGTTACATTTAAAATAAGCATTTTATTGTATGCAATCCATGCTAGACATTTAAAGAGCATGTGTCCTCTTCAAAAAGATAAACAAAGCTGCCACTAATTGCTTCTGCTGTCAGTTCCAGAAGCCAAGGTCTGCACTGATCCAGGGACTATCCTCTCACCACTCAAAGTGGTGCTTTCAGGTCACTCTTGAGCAGTGCTGAGAGTAAAGTCAAAGGAAGCTTTTTACTTCCAACATCTAAGCTTTTTTATATCGACCATCAATACAGGATTTAAATACCCAACAATTTTAATCTAAATCCTACCATGATTAGGACAATTCTCTGCTTAAGTATAAATTGTGTTTTGCACATAGTCCATTTTTCAAATGTTTCCGTACATTTTTACCAAGACAACAAAGTCCTGCTAATGCGGGAATCTGAGGGCCAGAGGGTGCTCAGGTCTTCACAGTAAAGTGTGATCATCCCAAACACATCCCGAACTCAACAGAAACTGGAACTGCCCAGTCTTTCACAGCATCAGCTTCTCAAAATCAGCTCCAGCTCCTCTTTAGTTTAATGTAAACACCAAAGGTACTGCATGTGCTGTAGTGTTTAGTTAATTCAGCATTCTTAATAATTTACTGGTTTCATTTCTCTTTCATAAGGCCTCATGATAGGCTGATTGAGGGTAATGCTCTAGAGATGAAACACATCGTTCTGGTATAAGAATAAAACATAATTTGTCTCAGGGTACTGATATTTGGCAGAAAGAAAAAAAATAAATTTCTGCAAATGCTTTGGTTTATAGAAATCTTTGAGAAATATTTCTCAAAAGCACATACATAAATCATTTTCTATGTTTTACTAAAATTGGGACCACTTCTTTTCTGAAACACTGGAATTTAAGGAGGCCCACTTGAGACTTGCTCACAATTCTGAGACAACATACTAAGACATGAAAGAAAATACCATTTCCGTTCTTCATATGTGGTATTTTTGAAACTAAGAGACTTAACACTTGAAAATTACGTCAGCCCTAATGCAACTGTTTAATCTTTCCTTTATGGAACAGTAACAAATTTCAAGTATGATTCTAATACAATAGAGGACATGATATTTTTTTGGGGGGTGTGGGGAGGAAGTATGTTCAGCATAAACAACATGAGCATAATCTAAAACACTGTCAAAACAGCAATATAGTATTTTAGCTTTAGAGTGGTCCTTCAGAGAGCCTGCTAGCTACAACTCTGAGTTTGAGATAGAGACTGGATGGAAGCAAGCCCCTGGAAATAATGTACACTTTGTAAACAGCCACGGAACATTTTATTTAGAGTAGTCTGTATGGTAGGGTTCAGTTTACACAATAAATTACTCTAAATGCTGAGTATAAATAAATGCACTTTTGCTCCATGGAATTCTGATTACAAGCGGGATTGTTACCTGCTTACAAAGCATTGTATTATATCTCCTTATCCACTTCCACCCAATGTCACTCTGCTTTTTTCATTTTAAAGGTTTTGCTTCCCTCTCCCTCCTTTCTCCTCTTTATTCCTCTTTTTAAAAACAACTACAGTCTATCATTTTACCTCTGCTGCCTGGCTGTATTTTTCCACTGCACTGACAACTACCAGTGAATACAAGAAAGATGAGTTGTAGGCTCCTGTATTTTTGAACAAGGTAGCAAATCACAGAAGAATCCAGTGCATAATTCTGCAAGGCTAACCATTGGGAGCAGTAAAGACCATTATTTTCTGCCTACTGATGGCAGAGGTCAGCATCCCTGTCATTAGCTGTGTCAAACTACAATTATATAACTGCACTTTATGTGAGCAGATATCTGAAAACACTGTGAAGTTGCAAATATGAAAATTAAAATATACCTATCCTTCTTACAGTACTGATCAAAGTGGTCTTTGCAGGTGACACTTCAATAGGGAAAGCCTATTGCCCTTCAAAAGGGCTGTTATTTACTTCTCTGTACTTAAACATTTAAACTTATCATCCGACTCCTTCAGGCAGCTTGAAATCACTGGCCATATTCTATCAAATTAAGACACTTGGATTATCAAAGTTATTTCTTTTATATCATTCAACTAAATTACAGAACGTTTTTTTTCCTAAAATAAACTTCAACAGAACAGACTACTCATATTAGCCTAAACATATCTGAACTGCAATTATGCTTCAAGTTTCAACGGGTGAACAGTACAACCCCAACCCTAAATCTGTCCAGCATAAGAGCTCCACGATGTTATTTCAAAGGCTGACCCATATACCAAAGCATACAGTCCATTCTATCTGTTTGTATAACAGATACCTCTCACAGTTGTCATAACCAACATTGTTTGCATTGTTCCTTCACTCTTCTCTCTCCATGGGTAATGCAAGAGAAACAAGGAAAAGCCTGCATAACAATATATGCAGAGCATAATGAGCTTTCACAGCAGATAGAGAAATATTAGGCTAAGATGCTTAGAATGCTATTTTAGGTTTATAAAATAAAGATCTAAGCAGTCTTCTGAAACAAAGCCTGCCAACTGAAAATTGTAAGATAAGAGGTGATTGTTTGAATCTACATTATTTTCCTCTGGCTACAGAAAAATGCACAGTCAATACCTCCCATGCATGTGCCTGGGAACTCGTATGCTACAAACAAACATCTGATCATGGAAAACAACTAGTGCTAACAGAACAGTTCGAAAACTTAAAAGCTTAAGTATTTGTGGAATACATTCTAAATTACCAGCACTCAAGCAGACTTCAAATGTAAAGAATCAAAGTCTAGCAAATTTGTAAAAGAAAAAACACTACCAAAACCTAGATATGAAAAACAGGGCCAAATCCACTAGTAAGCGCCAAAAGCAAGTTTTAACTAACTGTACAAGAAACAAGAACCCAGAGGATCTTGAATGAGTCCTGAATGAGTTTTGCAGGTAGATGCCTAATGAAGACCACCATTCTGGCCCAGAACAAGGATCCATCACACTCCAGCCATCATCTCCTTTCCTGGGAGAGTTTAAAAGCAAACACTCAACCAAACACACTGAACAGAATTCTTCAGGCCTCCCACCCTTCAAACTCCCTCAATACACACAGCCTGAAAATGAGTGACAGAGCAATACTGTAACATGATGACATGTTTAGAACAAGTCAGATAAGTTTTCACAGCAATGTTAATCATGCTGAGCAAAGGGAGAGAGTGAAGGGGTGAAAAATGAAATGTTCACTGAATGTACGCCTCCAAGGGGCCTGGCAAATCTACTCTGTCCATTTAACGTTATCAATGGTCAGTGGTAAAGACATCTGAGAAAGACAATTGTTCTGTACTCGATATCTTATATTGAAACATTCCTGGTAAGTCTTTTCCAAGCATAAAACATATGTCTTATGACTGTGCACTTTTAAGCACATTATCAGTTCAGGCAAAGTGAAATAGAAGAGTTGCAACTTGTCTACAGAATGAGTGTCTCATTTGCATTTGAAAAGAACAGTTTGCTCCCTCATACATGGCATGACTTGAAAGAAGCTTTAACCAGCTAGTAAAGAAATTCTGAAAACGACTTTCCAAATTAATTTATTCGATTTGAAGTGCAGCACACCAAAAATTATTTAAGGAACTTAATTGGAAAATGATTTAATATATTAAAGTAATTCCTGATTTTCCAAAGCATTTAACTTTTAAATTAAATCTGGCCACTATCTCAAGAATGATGAGTGAAATGTGTATTCAAGTCATTACTTTCCTTCTGAAGCTTTAAATCATTGATAGGTTTAATAACGTTTGTCCAGTTTCACTGCCAAACAGGTCTTCAAACACTTTGGTTCTTATGGCATTAATATCAGCCCAAGCTTTTCACGTGGCAACATTTCACTGTTACAATTTACAAAACTGACAATAGAGAAAATAACAGCAAACCACAGATGAAAAGTAGCAATAGCCTCATGATTACTCAGAGCACTAGCAGAAAATTAATGAACACTTAAATGCTCCTTTGCATTTGAACTTTTCCTGCTGAACCAAGTTCACTCCTGGCACAAACTTCCAAAATATAGCGCACATTTGCCAGATGCTGCAGAATAGTTACTTAAAACAACGCTAACAGTCATACCTCTGGGATCTCTCTTGAAATATCCTGGGGCATCCACCACAAAGGGCCCGATTTATCCCTGGATTCTATAACTCCATTGAGTATATGTGAAATGCAGCCAGGATGAATTTGGTCCTTTCTGTTGTGATTGGTAGATGCGACCATGTGGGAAACCTTTCCTGAAAACTGAGAGGGCTTCACCGGGGCGCCGCAGCCTCAGCACAAGCACACTCTATTTTGCTGTTTATCTCTGAATCGAGGCAGCTGCCCGGGATGAAAGGGACGGCTCGGAACGTCTCTCTGACACGTGAGACCGTCTCGACAATAGCCGGGCGCGGGACCGGGCCGGGCCGGGCCGGGCCAGGGGCTGCTCCTCCGCGGCAGAGCCCCGCCGGCCCCCGCGCCCTCCGCAGCCGCGGCCGGCCCTGCGGAGCCTGCGCACGGCGGGGTTTGCGCTGCGAAAAGCCATCTGCTGCTGCAGCCCGCCACGGCGGGCTCCTAAACAAGAGCCCGAGCGCGCAGGTTTGAACACATCGCTCTCTCCCGGCTTGCTCCCCTTGGCCGGGCTGTGCTCCGGGTAACTCGCATTTTCCGATCATTTCCTACGGCCAGCGTTTTATTCACGTGCAAAGCCCATTCCGTAACAGCAGAGAAAGTGCAGCTCATACATAAAGCACCAGCTGGCTCAGGCTACAGCGGCAGTAACAATGCAGGAACCACAGCTCCCTTCCTCGGCAGCAAAAGTCACGCAAAGTGCTCCGGGATCGCAGCACCAAACTCTCGGAACCGGACTCAGGATTTGGGCTAGAGCGTGTATCCTCTGCGGTTCCTCCTTCCCCAGGGCTGGGGGACCTAAAACTTAGCTCTCCTCAGGTACTGACCCCATTTGCAGAGGTTTAATCAAGTTATAGAGAAATTGGGAAGGCAGTTGCACAGCCGGGACAAAGTGGAGCCGATGTTCTGAGCCGACTTGTAAACACTATGCACACTTATTATGCACATCGAGAGATGTGTGTGTGTGCGTGTGTATACACATAGATATGTCACACACACACACACACACACAAACGTGCTTTTCGGCTCTTTGACACATGAACTGCGGGGCAGAGTTTCTGCCGGTTTGTGGCGGACGCGATCTTTCTCATTAACAAGCCCCCTGGAAATTCAAGTCCCCCGCACCAACATCCCCGTCCACGCCGTTTCTCCGAAAAGATGTTATGGAAAATGCCTCCCCCACCCCCCCCAGACTACTCCGGGGGTTTAATTTGGGGTGCCTGAGGGGGAGCCGGCGTGTGTCCCGGCGGCAGCGCTCGGCGGCGGGCGGCACTGCGCTCCCCGAACCCCAAAGCCCGGCAAGTGCCGCTGCCCTCCCTCCGCCTCGCCGGGGAACTTGGTGCGCGGCTCGCCAGAGCGCAGCGCCCGCTCATGCAACGCGCCGCGACAACAGCACACACCGACAGCACAGATAAAACACCTCGGACGACACAAAACACGAGTCACCTTGTTGCAATAGTAGGGGTCCAGGCAGGGGGAAGGTCCCAAACAAGGCGTATCAGGAGCGGCTGCAGGCTGAGGAGGTGGTGAATAAAATCTTACGTCCATTTCACTAAAACATCAAGCAAACTCCTTTCCTTTTCTTTTGGTCGTTAATGTAGGTGCAAAAAAGGGGGGTGTGAGTGTGTGTGTGTGTATGTGTGTATGTGTATGTGGGTGTGTGTGTGTGAGAGAGAGGGAAGGGGGGGGACACACAAGACTGAGAAGAATAAAAAAAGAGGTGCCTGACTTCAGTAGTCAAACACCTTCCCTGCCTCACATCCGTTTGTGGTTTGTAAAGAGAGAGAGAGGAGAGGAAAAAAAAAATCTCTTCCAAAAAAGCACCGGTCTGCAGATGTCTGCAAGAGAACCCACGAACCCTCCTTCTTCTACGGCAGGGCAGGTAACTTCGAGTACTTATTGTTTCCCCCACGCATCGGCACCGGGGCGCTCGCTCCGTGCGTGCCGCTCTTTATGGGAGTCTCGGAGTTGGTTCGCTTCTCCCTCCCTCCCTCTCGCTCGCTCCCTCTGTTCTTTTCCCGTTCTTTCTTTCTTTCCTTCTTTTTTTTTTTTTTTTTTTTCTCTCTCGCTCTCTTTTTTAAAAAATTTTATTAATATTATTATATATTTGCTTTGGTTTGGTGGAGTTGTATTTTGGTCGCCCACCACACCGAGGGCCTTGGGGGGGGCTGAGGGGGAGGTGGCGACAGCAGCCGGGCCCCCCGCGCACCCCCGGGGGGAGCGGGGCGCCCAGGCGCTGCAATGGCCGCCCCGAGCCGCTCGGCTCTCTCGGCTCGGCCCGGCCCGGCCGGGCTGGGTTGGGCTGGCGGCGGCAGGGGACGCACCGCGCTCCGCCGCGGAGCCGCCGCTCCGAGCGTCCCTCACACAAAGGGGCCGGCGAGGGAAGAGCCATTGGCGGCCGGCGGGGGCGTGTGCTGCCAGGGGGGGGTCGGGCTCGGACTGCCGGTGTGGCCCCCGGCCGGTCTCTTGAGGTGCCTCTGTAAGACCCTCGGACCCATTTCCGCGGACCTTTGGCAAAGTTGGGGACGGGCGACCCCTCTGCCCTGGCAGCCCTCTGAGGCTGGTGTGGGTCGAGCTGTCAGCAGAGCCCGTCGTCTCCAGTCCCGGCAGAGTGGAAGCTGTCGCCCAGAGTTTGTGGTGGCACACATACGCTGTGATCCATGAGCGTGTCCCAGAAAACAGGAAACAAGTTGAAAGTAAAGCGCACCCGTGAAATACCCCGTCATCTGGGGTCTGCCCCATAAATCGCGACGCTCGGGCCTGGCCGCACAGGGTGACACCAGGCGCAGGGACAGTTGGGGAGATGGCCTAAGTGTGAGGGGAGGAAGGAAGGACAAGCGAGTGAGGTGGGAAAATTAACAGGAGCTCAATTAGGAGGCAAACAAGGGTGCTGACAAAGTTCAGAATCCAGTGGGATGCGGGAGGGGTATTGATGAGCATAACAAGGTTTAACAGGCAAAAACAATGAAAGAAAAGGTGACTTCAAGACACCATGAGCAATCCCACTGTGTTTCCTGCTGAGTCTTCAGTAGTCTTAATCAGGGCAGAAAGGATGGAAGAGAAAGAATACAGGAAGGACACTATGCTGAGCTTAGATAATGCCCAACAGAGGAATTGTGTTATGAAAAGAAAGGAATGCCTTTCCTTCTTTAAATAAAAACGAATTACCAAGTGCCACACAAACAAGCTGAAATGATGATGATTAACAGGAATGGTTACATTTATCAATACTCAAGAACATTTCCATCACAGACCAGTTACGAGCTAAGAAGACTTGTAATGCATGTTGCCACACAAAACTCTCTTCTCATCACTGAAAAAAAATTCCACTATAAAGATTTCAAGGCATCTTAGTATTGTGGGGGAGCAGATCACAAATTTCACGTGAAAAAAATCTCTGTGTGAGGATATACATATGTATACACAAAGATATATAATCTGAACCTCAGATATTTTGATATTTAGAGTCCTTCAAGATTGTGTTAAGTCATTACTTTCTTCCGTGTCTAACAACCTGCTTTCATTAAAGCTTAATTATCTGAAAAAAATACATAAGTAATGCAAATGAAACTCTAGAGAAAACAGGTTTGAAGCAATATTCCTATTTCAGGATTATTTGATCAAAAACATCTCTGAAGATACTTGGTTGTCAGTTCAACAGAATTTAAGCTTGATGGCAATAAATGTTTTTCTTAAACATGCAATTACAAAAGGATCTCAGTTGCTTTCTTTTTAATAATGTTTGAAACCCTTCTGGCCTTGGAGAAAAGCTTGAAAACATGACCTAGAAAAAGCTCCAGAAAGCAAAGGAAAAGACATTAACATATTAAAAAAAATAACAACACACAAAAAATCCCAAACCCTCATGATTTTTTGGCATCTGACTCATTATTTTACATGTTTGGGATTAGACATTTTGAAAGTTAAAAAATCCTAAAAAAGATTTTCCTTTGCAAGAGATGTACTTGACGCCTGACAGATATATCACTGCTGCAAGTGGCTGATATGTGGACCATAATTTGACAAAGTGAATGGGAGACAGATTGCAAGCTCCGTATTGAAAAGCTGCTGTTGAGAAACTTGTTATTCATGGACAGTGGATTAGTTTTCAGCCTGTTGTGGAGAGCGGTGGTAGAGATACAGCAATTCAAGATGAGCTGTTCTAGGCAACCAGTGTGTGCAGGTGCATACAAGTGCATGCAGGTACAGAAATGCTAATGCTGAGCTGGAGATGTCAATACCAGAATGACTAGAATATCTGATAATAAAAAGTAGAGAATTGGCTTTTTATTTATGTGAAATATTACTGACTGCTGCCTTAGGAAGGGCTTCGAGTTCCTCTGAGTCTGTAGGAGTTTACAACTGTACCGTTTGCTTTGCACAGCACTTCAAGTTATTTTCAGTACTTAATGATGCAGGCCCTGAGAGTTATAAAATTTTTGCTGCTACTTACAGAGATGATTTAATCATCAAGATGGTAAAACACCTGAGATTTGTGGCAGTTATCTGTACAGTTGGTAAAAATTAAAGAGCTATATATATTAATCTATTAAAACATTCTTTTGTTTTGTAGGGAACATATTCTCTATGGTTTTCAGAATGATGTGTTTGTGGAGACCGGAACTGAAATTGTTAATAATATTGTAGGTTTTGCCTCTATGGACTGAGAAAGCAAGGGCCGCTGCAGGATAATTCAATGGTATATCAAACTTGACCACTTTAGCTCATGGAAGTGCATTTTCCAGAGAAAGAAAAAAAAATTTGAAACAGATTTAAAAGAATGAATCAATTTTTAGAAGCTCAAAAGGAAGGAACATTTGTTCAGAAAGGTACTGAGTTTTTAAAGCCATTCAGCATTCAAGTGAATGTCTCCAAAATAGTCTTGAAAGAGGTTGCCATACCAGCATAGGAGAAGAGTGTTATTACTTTTCTTGTATAAATAGGAACAAATGCCTTGAGGAACATGATCTTTATCTGCCAATACTAAAAAAGTTATTCTTTTAAATGCTGTCTGCTGGAGTTAGACTGTGCAGTGTAAATACTCTCCATGCAACGGAGAACTCGTATGGCATCCTTGCCAAACAGCATTGTGGATGCAAGAGGTTTACACAGCAGACTGGAAACCTAAGAAGGTCATTAGATAGACAAACCATAAATGGATCAGTAACTCCTCTGGGCTGAAAATAGCTGGAGGTAGAGGACGTGGAAGTAGGTAATGGCAGTGGTTGCCCTCAGTTCGGGCTGTCACGTCTAGAGCCGTCATTGGAGGCAGAGTACTGGTAGGGCACACCCTCAGTCTGAACCAGTCCAGCACATTCTCATTTGAGAATGCACAGTCTTTGCAGTGGTCAGGTGAACAGAATTCAATGAAACAAGTAAATGTGTCTGATACGGCAGGTTATTTTCATATGTATTCTGTTGTCTGACCCAGCTGGTCGGTCTAGTGTGTTGGAGAGCCATCAGCAGATAACTAATGTTCTCAGCCAAAGAGAAATAAAGTATTTTGGTTTAAAAAACAGCCCTCAGTCTGAACCAGTCCAGCCATTGGCACATTCTCATTTGGGAATGCACAGTCTTTGCAGTGGTCAGGTGAACAGAATTCAATGGAACAAGTAAATGTGTCTGATACGGCAGGTTATTTTCATATGTATTCTGTTGTCTGACCCAGCTGATCGGTCTAGTGTGTTGGAGAGCCATCAGCAGATAACTAATGTTCTCAGCCAAAGAGAAATAAAGTATTTTGGTTTAAAAAACAATAGTCCAACATGTTTTTGTTTAAATCTCACACATATATACACAGTTTTATTTGGGAGCACTAGATATCTGATCATCTATTACAAAGAGCAGACTTCCTGGTCTTCCTAGAAAGAAGGAAATGTGAGACTGTGATGATGGCTTAGTATTTATTATACAAAAGCTAGACACCACAAGAATCTCTTCATGAAGTTGGCTCTTCTTTAAAGAAAAGTTTTCTGCTGCATATTTTTAAAAAGAGTTGGATTGGAAAATCATTTTGCTTCTTGTTTTGTGTGCTGTACATTGGTAGCCAGGAGGAACAGATAAGCTAAAAGGGAACCAATGAGATTTTGCTAAGAAAATCCCTCCTGCTGAAATTTTTGATTTGTGACTAACTCACAGGACTGTTTACCTTTCATAATAAAGGTCAATGCTCATCTATTTCTAGATAGTAGTTAATTAAATAATAATAGGACAAAGGGTCTGTCTCTTTTGTGTGGATGTCCTGTTTCATGTTCTTAAAGTGGATATGACATTTGGATCTGGGAAGATGCAAACGATAATGTATTAAGATTGCAGGATATTTTAAACAATATAATTAATCTGGTTGTTTCATCAGAATGAACTCAAATCCTTTAAGAAATTTATTAATTTTAAGTGTTGACATTCTGTGTGTGCATTTATAAGTGAGCGTAAATCAATGTGAAAAAAGAGATCTTCAATAAGGTATAAAAACTTAATAGGTGTAATGTATATTTCAGAGTATTTAAACAGTTTGTAAGGCTACCTGATAGTGTGTCAAATAAAGTGTTATCAAATGTGTAATGAAAGAGCTAGCTATTTTATTATTTTAGCTATTGCTCCTGTCCTATTTAATTTGTTTGTGGTGGAAATAATTAGCCCCATATTATCACACTTGTATGAGAATAAATTGTTCTCTATAAGGAAATACAAATCACTTCTAAAAGTTAAAGAAAGCCCCTGACTTCCCTTTGCTACAAAGCAGAGAGAAAACCTGAGTATTGCCATGTCTTCTTAGTCCAAAAAATGATACACAGCCAATTTAACACTAGAGGAGGAATTGACACATGGGTTGAAGCTGAACTGTGTTTTGCATCTCAGAAAAGATTCTTACAACTCATCTGCCATTTCCCACAGTAGGAATTAAGCACAAAATATCTCAGAGAATCAAGAACTTAAATTACCATGAAAGAAATATAAAAATGTAACATTCACCTTGCATATTTGCAGCTTTGATCCATTCCCATATGTCTCAAAGACACTGCCAGCTGGTTCAATTCAAGTTACCAAATTAAATGTGGCCTTGCCGACATGGGGAAGGTAGGCCAGTCTCCAAAAAAACCATTTTATTGGGCTTTAGATTATTTTTCATGGTCAGAGAAACAAAGGGAAACATGAAGTTCTTTTTATTCTCTTCCTGTATTTTCTATCTTATCAAGGTTTTTATATGAGCTACACTGTCCACATGGTATGAAGGCAGGAAGGCTCAAAAAATCATCACAGTGTGATGTATGCTAGTTCTCAATTGCAAAATATACTCAACTACTAAGGTTGCCAATTTTCCACTCTTCCACTTATCTTGTTAGATCAATCATGAAACATCCAGAAGTATAAGGAATCAGAAATTTTTGGTTTCATGCTGGTTTTTTTCTGAAGTGTACTGGAGGCCTGTACTGGGACTTCAGAAAATTCGATTTTTTTGAAGGAAAGTTATGTTTTCAACAATTTATTTTACAGTTTAAAAAGCTGTCTAAAGGCATTTTGGTTTCTCCTCCAAAAACTGAGGTTTCATATCATTTTTGTAAATGTTATCTGGAGACTGCATCATATACAGATGTCTTGAGAACAAATCTGTATTAATAGTTGGTACCATTAAAAATACTCATCTGTATTTGCAGGTATTTTACAAATGTACATATGAATGTCAGCTGAACAGTCAGGAGAAAGAAAAGACTGAACAGAGGGCTGGTCACAAGCAGAGGAAGGGTCTGTATCACCAGTTTATCCATAGTATTCAACAGGGAATTCTCATCTGCAAGACACATGCCAAGCAGGTGATTAATCAGTTTTCAGTTCAGAACAATGATGTCACCATTGTCCTATTTGATAAAACTCCAAACAATGCATGAGCTCCCCTGACATGAAGGGATCATTACAGGCTTGCTTAATACCTCTTCTTTTCTGTTTCAGATGTCTTCTGCTAGAGAAAATTTTAATTTTCATTTTTATTCACAAGGTCTCTGTGAAGAGATGGGTGTTTCTTAAATCTCCAGGCAAGGTAGGTGTTTCAACGGGAGGCTCTCACTCCAAAGCAGTGGGTTATAAAAGTACTCTTAAATGCATTCTTTTACATGGGTTTGATTAGCACTTCAAGCTCAGAATTATAGATGTTAATAGAGAGAGAGGTCTAAAGTCCGTTCTCTCTGAATAGTATAGTATAGTGAAATTCACAGAGTTAAAAAAAAAAAAAAAAAAATTAGGGCTAGAAGGTATTGCAGTTTATCTATTATCTCATTTTATTTTTTTAACCAGAGGGAAAAAATTACTTACTTGAATTTAATTTTCTCCCTTTGGGATTTATAATTGCTGTCAGAAAAGCACCACACAATGGGCACAGTTGGAATTTCAAGTGCAAAAGGTTGTGACTAAGGTACAGTAAAAGTTTGTTGGGGGTTTCCATTAGAGCTTCTTGTGGTACCAAATAAATCCCATTCCATTCACACTTGATAGGCTGAAACAGATATGCCCATCTGCATGTCATCTGCAGTCAGTTTTTAAGGGGCATAATAAACTGTTGGGACTGCTGACTTGTGAGCAAAATTTCCTTCCTTGCTGAGATTTTGGCATTTTTCTGGTGGATCTCTAGGAACATCAGATCCCCTTCCTTATAACTGTTATGGGGTTTTTTTTCTCAATGGAGCTGTCACTCTTAAGTCTAATAAAAACTCTCTGTCTTCCTTTTCTGGGCTTTCTAGTTTGACAGTTTTGTGTTATAACTTTGTTCCACAATAAAAATAAAAAAGCTCTGGGTGTTAAGGAAGTCCTTGGAAAAGTGTAAGTGATAGAGTCAGCATTTACAGAACATATCACAACAGGTCTGACTGACCTTGGCAGCAAGAGGAGATCACCATTTCTCATGGATGAGCTTTTCTTGAATGTCTGTCTTTTATGCTGTATAAGGCAGAAATACCTTTTCTGGGTCAAGGCTACTGCTTTCTGTTTCTCTTACTCTTTAACAGAGATTGTCTACTACTGTCAAGTATTATCTGTTTAAGGAATTCCTCTCAATCCCCTGTGTCTTGTTCTATGGTATCTTAAGATAAATCTACATCACTGGTATTATTTTATAGTCTTACACTGTTTTGTTGAGGATTATTTGTTTGAGGATTTTGAATGGTTTACTTTTATCACAGTCAGACTGCAAAGATTAATGTTTGTGGACGTCCTCCAAATCATCTCCCTTTACTCTAGCTACCAGAGTGCAATCAACGCTGTTTTCTTGTTGGAATGGCCATTGTCCTATCTTTTTAGCAGTTGGCAGGAGTACCAGTTGAAGGGAATGAATCATCTGTGTTAGCTGTTCGTCTTTAAAAATGGACTCTTCAGTGGCATGTGTAAGTATAACAGAATTAAATTTACATATGTATCAGATGCTATGAAACACGTGGAGGGGAACTCCCAGGCCACATTTGAAATTATCAAGTTCTAACAATTTGAATGCATATAGATTTATAATAGCTGCATGGAGAAAGTTGCCTGGCTGCATAATACAGTGACAATAATTAAGTAAAAACAAAGAATAATTTGAAATAAAAAAAATGAAAAGAAACTCAGACTCGTTTACTGTTGTAGAATATAGGAAAAAAAACCCCACCATCCTCCTAAGGTACCCTTCCCCTCCTCGCAGTGGAATTTCCCTGCTTTGAAGTTATCTTGAGAAGACACAATTTGCAATTTGCCAAAGAGGTCAGCAGGTCCAACCTACTGTACCACAGTGTAGGAGGTGGTTTCAAGGCTGACAGCCCCCTGGAAGGAGGATCTGCAAGCATCCTGCTTTCCTTTGAATAAAGTGTGACCTCCACTGGTCGTTGTTGTATTCAGGAAAAGGGGAAAAAGTCCATAATGGAAGAAGGCCCCAAGGCATTTTGTGGCACCAAGTCTTGCAGTGTAAACTGCAAGGTTCCTATTTAGTTCACTGGAGAAATATGTAATAGGTATTTACATATATTTAAGTGGAGCTGCATGGGGGGCAGGGAGAGAGCTGAAGCATGTGCTTGCACTTGCTGAGAGTCATGCATGTCCTACATCTGCCTGCCTGTCTCTCATGAGCGTGATTTGTTAGGTATGTGTTGAAAAATAAAAGAATATCTGGTTGCCAAGACTAATACATACATACTCTTGCTTCATTTTTCTCACATCTCTGTTTCTGTAATCATTTAAAAAAATGAAATTATAAAAAAAAACACAACAAAAAACAAACAAACAATAAAACCCCCCAGACTGTCCAGGGCAGAATTCAACCCACAAAGAGAATGAAAACTGAAATAACCTTAAAATAGAAAGTACCTTTAAGGAGAAATGTAACATAAAGAAGAGGTTTAAGGAACCTGAGCACAAGTCATTTTTGCTACAATGCATAGCCACACTGAAGAGAGTAAAGGGTAGGAAGACACAATATTTCTGAATTTCCATGTCTTTGTGGATTTAAGTCAGACCCTTAACCTTATTTGAATATAGTATTTTTGTAGTTTAATACATTTCATACGGAATGTATAAAGAAGATTTAATAACTGTCTCTTAGCTGTGGTCTATCTCTACCTCAGAGAAAGCTAAAATGAGTTTCTAGTGAAATGGCTGAAAGAGCATGCACAGTAAGTCTTCTATCAAATTGTTTCCAGTCTTGCTGATTTGTAAAAGATTTTTTAGAAAGATTCTGGCTTTCTATGTAGAATGTTAAAGTTTGATTCTGTGCCCAAAATTTATAAAGCGAACCACAAATAACCAGTGGAAGTCTAGCTTGCCATGTTCTGCTTTTTAAAACTCCTGAGATTACTTTGCTATCACGTGGAATTTGTGCTAGTATTTAACCCAAGTTTTACTCTCAAAAATAAAATTATAGTGAATTACATATTTCTGGCTGTAATAGCAATTAAATATCTTGGAAGAAACTAATCAAATCCCCAGGCCTCTCTGTCTTTTTTGTTTTTCTCTTTCAGAAGTGCGTCATAGATAATGGACTAACTTTGTGAACATACTCCTGCAGTAGAAAGGACAAAAATGAACAATTCTTATGTAATTAGTCACCCGACACAAGTGTTCCAGGATAAGATCTTCTGAAGTATCATAGCAGAAATATAAATGGAATACTTAGAGTTGCTGTTGTCAGCTGTTAAAAATGGAAGTATTTCTGCAGCATTTCATGTTCTCTGGATAGTTGTGCATCAAACTAAGGTATTCTTGTGGCATTGAATTGCACAAGGGCAGTTAACTGCTTTCCTTCTGCCCTAGAAGCAAAACAGCCCACTGGCACAATTTAAGGCAAAAAGATCAGGCTGGACCAGGCTTGTGTTTGCCCTGCTTCTCTAGATTTTTGCCTGTCTTGTTTGGTATAAAGGCATTTCTTACATTTGAATGTGCTGTGGTGGTTATTCAAATTGTTAATAGATGCAGTTTCCTAACATTCCAGCTCAAACATTGGAATACAATAAACTTGAGCTGACTGGGCATCAAAAGGCATAAACCAGCAGTGTTAATACAATCAGTGTCATGGGATCATTACTGCTGAAAACTGGGACTACAGCCCATGGGTATTATTGTGTGTCTTCCATCAGCTTCTCAAAGTGCACTCCATGCACACCCAAGAAGGCCAGACAATCTCTCCCTTAACCTATTGGAAAGAAATTTGTTGAGGTACACATGTTTTCACACACAGCTTAAGAGATATACTCCCATAATTACTAGCACTGCTTGTAAGTCAGGAGTTAGTGCAGGCACAGCATCCAGGTGTAGGATGTTATTACTGGTTCTGCTTTGGAAATATACTCAAGTGTGCCTCTCTGCCATCTGGCATTTCTGATTCAGGAGAATCTCTGTGTTTTCTTGTCTTCCTTGAACACTAAAATCAAGGGTCAAGGTCTGCTTTTTTCTTTTGTGCAGTTTGGTTCATTTGGGAGTTGTTCCTAACATAACAAAGCTGTGGTTTTACAGTAGGCTTCAGCAAATTTAAATCTGTGCTGCTGCTGAAGATGGTGGTACTGGTCTCTTTTCCTTCCTGCTCCAGCTGCATATTCTGCTGTCTCCGTAGGGAGAATGAGCATACTTCTGGCTTCAAGGTCAGCTGTGTCAGGAACCATCTGAAAATTACTGTGTGGCTCAGATCTCAGGTGGATCATTTTGGTATTTTTGATCTGGCGGACTCTGAGGCAGCATGAATACTGATGATGAAACAAGAGTGTTTACCTAGGGCTGAGGAGAGGAGGGGGAGGGAGGTGGTGAGTGGGCCTACCTCTTGGCACACTCCATACTTAAGGTAGCTTAAACCAATAATGAAGCAGCACCTAAGAGTCTGCTTGCTAAACTCAGAGGTGAAATGTGCTTCTGGTATTAGGGAAGACCAAACACTGGAAAATTCCAATGCTTTTTTTTTTTAAACTTTCTGTGCAGTGTAATTTCCAGAGAGCCTGAAGCAGAGCCATCATGCAGGAAAAATAAATAGTAGATATTGAGTGGAACAATAGTAAGAGCTAGACACTTCACACAGACCCAGTGTTCCAAATCTTTATCCATATAATTCCACTAGTTTTCCCTAAAGTGTTCTTTGGTGGGAGAATGTCGAAAATACTCTGAAACACACCAAAAATTATCAAAAAGTTATGCACAATTCATAAGCTTCAACTGGGATGAAAACTTAGTGAAATAAATTTTTTACTAACCTGCTTTTTTAAGCAATCCAATTCTTCTTCCTGCAATTCCTACCTAGACAGGCCCATGAAACCTGTGGTACTGGAGAGGAAGTGATGCCTCAAAGTTACTCAACATGTGAGTTGGGAAGGGAAAAGGGGGACTCTGAGGGGAAAGGAGGGGGAGTGGGTGAAATGTGGATGGATGGATGGATCTGAGAATTATGCTGCAGCTGAGATTGAAATAAAATTTCACCTTAAAATGGGGTGGCTGCTGCTTCTATGAAAGTCTTGGGGATAATTCATCTGCCACTTGCTAAATTGGCAGGGTTTCTTTCCAGGTTCTCTTTTCTATTCTCCATTATGCTTTGTATGTGTATACATGTGTGTGAGGTATGTGTATGTAATTTTCAAGAGATCTGGCCCTTTCTTTCTCCTTGGGTAACTTCTGAAATAGAGCTGTCAGGATGATTCCAGCATTTGGAGCCATATTCTTCCTGACAGAATATAACTCTTTTTCACAGTTTTCCTTTTTTATGGCCTGAAGTCAATGGGAATATTCAATGCAACCTAAGGTCAGGTTCCTGAATTTTAACACAATTTCCCATGAGAACTAGAAGAACGAAAATTCCTTTAAGACAGGGAAGAAAAAGTGGAATGGTAATGTAAGGACAAAACACTTGTTATATGGCTTTAAAAAAGCAGCTTGAAGAGATTTCAGATCTAGGGGGAGGTGAGCTTCATTTAATCTGTCCAGGAATTTAACAGCAGTCACAGAGTTATCAGTCACTTGTACAAAAGGGTTGAACTCTCATAGCAACTGGCTGTGCTAGCAATCTTGAAATTCAGTAGGCCAGCTGCAAGAAGATACATCAAGTTAAGTAATTTCAAAAATGTATTGAAATATAGCATATGCAGTCATATAAACCTGTATGATGTGGCAGGATTTTAAGCAATGCCTTAGCAATATGGTTGTATGTATAGCCATGGGCTATACAGAAATACAACCACTCTTTTCTAGAACATAAAAAAGGGTTGGTTATGAGCTGAACAGGTTTGTGTGATTGACTTATATCTGATCATTGATATTATTTGATGCCTTGGAAGGCAGAGGTTGTGAATGTTCAGTCAACAAAAAAAATTTGTAATACTGAAAAGAAATGATGATGTTAATTTATTTTCTGCAAAGGAAGAGGTTTCATGCCTGTGCCCACCTCCACAGAGTGGAAATTCACAGAGACCTAGTTTTTATCTAGGCAGAGTTTCTCATATATCAGTGGAAATTTTAGACTCTCTAATATCAGTTGTACTTTGAAAAATCTAAATTTTCTTGTTTTACATATTTCTGATGTCAAGTCTTACATTTTGCATTAGTGAAATAGGATGAGAATGAAGATGTTGCTATTTACAAACTCTTTGAAGATGTAAGGTGCTGTATATATATATAAATCATCACTTTCATATGAGTTTGGATGTGCTAAAAATGCAGTACATTTCATTGGTGATAAAGCATCATGATCAATGAAGAATCTGAATATTAAAGTTAGAGGAGAGTATTTTGTTTTTTACTGTGTCCCTGTATATGTTCCATTAAGAAAGACAAAATATGCTTTATTAATGTAGTATTTCAAGCTCTTTTTGCTTCCTGAAATGTCAGGTGTCAAACTTTGTTGCCATCCTTGAGAACAACTAAAAAGTGAGACATTTCTCTGTTTGGAGGCTCTTGCCTTCCAGTAATAACCCTATCTTATCAATGGTTTAAAAAAAAAGGTTTTAAATTAAAACATTGGCTAAAAATTATATCTTATTATATCTTTTGATGCAGAATTGCAGGGAGTAAAATAAACTCCAGAGAGTAAAACATGTTGTAGGTAAGAGAAGTGGAAGCAGTCCGGCTTGTGGCAAGGTGAACTACAAAAAATCCGGTTTTATAAATTATGAACAATCCCATTACATTTCAGATTTTTATGGAAAACCTATTCTACAGAATACTTAAAGTCATGAATTGCCTTTGTTGATTTTCTTTACTCTTTCCATAACAGTTATTTCTATTCTGTTTTCAGTCTGCTTCATGTTGCCTTGTCTTACCTTTCCATGCCTTTTCCCCTCCTCCACATCCTTTCTCTCTTTCTCATGTAATCTCAGAGCTGTTAGAAAAAATGCTGCTTTTCCTGCGTAATGTTCTTCAGCTTTAGCTATTTTCCATTTCACTTTTTTCTTGTTATACTTTTTCCATTTAATATTTTGGGAGAAAAATAATTCTATTTTAAGTTGAGCCAAATACACCATCACAATGTTTTGGCCCATGGTTTTTGGTTGTTTTTTTTTCAAATATAAAGTTTATTTGCAGTTCCCTGTGCTCCCCATTTGACTGCTATTAAAGGAGAAGGAGGGGGAAAAATATCTTAACTTTTACCATCAGCAGAAGGTGTATCTTTACAAATGTCATTTTCTTGTCCCTCATCTGTTTTGTAGTAGCATGGAAGCTCTGCAGGATTGTTTACACAGCCTGGGTCTCACAATAACATAACTTGTTTGTAAGATGACATTGGTCTGGAGCTAAAATTATTGCAATATGTTTAAGGGGATGATGCACTCTGAATGAGTTCTAAGGAGGGAAAAATTTGAATTATGTACTACAAAAAATTGTTAGGACAGTGTAGTGTTGTGTGGGCAGCTGTGGGTTATAAGAGCTGGTTTGGAGGTGGAATGCAAGTGATTTTAAGTAGAGTCCAGGATTTTTGAAATCAGAGAAGCTTTCATCAAAAGAGCACCTTCTACTAATAGCTACTGTATTTTCAGAGTAACTGAAGATTGAAGGAAACAGGATGATTAATTTTACTACTGATTAATGTTTATTGCTACAGAAAACATCTCTTTGCATTTAATCCATGACTGTTCTGTCCTGGCTGATACTTTCTTAGAGTTTATATAAAAAGGCTATATAAAAGTGGACAAAAATGATGACACCACTTATGATACAGGAAAACTGGAAAATAACTACGGGTGCCACAGCATTTAGGCACCATGGTGATAGGTGCCTTAGAGACACATGCAAGAGAGACAAACAGAATGAGTCAACGTATTGCCCAATTTGCATAAAATTTTTCATAAAATAACTTGCAGTGTTTGAGAAAGAAAATAAATATTTGGTGTTTGGGTTGCTATGGTGTTGTGGTAGGGAAAAAAGCAAAACTATGAACAAACAGTCTATGCTACATTATGAGTTTACTAAGCAGACAGTCTTCTAAGTAACAAAGTGAATATGAAAAAAGGCTTCAATTATGTAGAGCTTAGTTGTGATACCAGCTAGTGTAACGACAGCTTTTTCTGTCCTCTTCACTTAGGAAGATCTTAAACACTGATTTCAAGAAACTGAAGAGGATTGTGCAGCAAGTGCTGTGAATTTCTGTATTTACTCCTAAACTTTGATTTACTTCTTTGGACTTGGTGATAGAAACAGCAGGTTTTGTCAACCTCTGAGAGCATTTCTTGCTTTTTCTTTAAGTTGGGATGAACATTTACTCTGTCTTACTGTGCTTCTTTTTGATTCAGAAGCATTTTTAATATATTTTTCAATCCAAGGGGGATGAGTGCTCTCTTTTGCATGCTCTTCTACACTAACATCCGGTTTCAGCAGTCCTCTTAAACATATGTCTAAATGCATCCTTAAATATTTGGTTGGTCATATGCCTAATGGAGTACAGTAGGCACATTAAAGAGCAGGATATTCTTAAGTGCTTTTTTGAATAGGGACTTAAATGGGAATGAAACGACAATTATGTACTTTTAATTGCGTGCATTAATTAGCCAAGTATATATTTCATTTACTTTATCTTTTGTAGTTATATAACTTTAAAGATTATAGAAAAGTACTTAATCCAAATTTTGTTCAATATATGTGTTTTAATAAGTATACTTACCCTCAGTATAATTTAGCTGCAAAGGTGTTAATAAAGAATAAGAAGTTGTTTCCATTCAGCACACATATTTTCCTGGTAAATGAACTTGCAATACTAAGAAAAGGGTTTAGGGGGGATAAAGAAAAAAGAAAATTGAGAAATTCATTGTAACTTTTTCAAAGGTGCATCATGGTTTAAGAATTTTATGCCTTTGCTACAGTGTAATTATTTTTCAATTGTTGCTTCTGACTGAGCAGTTTTTCTGACTGACCTAGTTTTTCTGTTAGGCATGAATGAATGGACAAATTTAAGAATTAAGTACCCAAACAGAATAAACATGTCATTTTGTAGTTTCTGAAACATTTGGCTCTGATAATGCAGCTCAAGAAACTCATACTCTTTTCTAATGAGTGAATGGCTTGAAACGTGTTCTGTATTGCAGTCTGAAAAAAATAGTTACTTTATCTAATTTGCAATCCTTTTGCTAGGGGCAAGGCTAAGAAATTTAGGGATGAGTTAACATATCCATCCCTTTTATGAAACTGCATGGTACTCTTGTAAGCTTCCATAAAAGGGGAAGGGAAGATCCTGAGCAGAAATAATAGCAAAATTAGACATCAGTA